AATTTTTCTAAACTCCATGTTTCATTCTCTATCAATGATTTCATCTCTGAATCCATAGCTTCTTTCCAATTAACACTTTGCTTACATTTGATCGCTTCTTCATAAGATTCGGGCTCTTTAGAATCAATAATAAAAGCTTCACTTATCATTATATAATCTCAAAACGCTTTGGCTTTCTCAAGTCAGCTCTATCTCTTAGGAATCTTGACTGTGCATTATTGTGCAAATTAATATCTTCACATTCTTCTCTTTCAGAAGGTTCTTCTGATATATTTCCAGATATTTCTTTGTTGTGTTCTTTTTCTGAATTATCTTCTTCACAAAGAAACTTTTCTGACTTATCTTTTTCTGAATTTTGTTGATGTTCAGAGCCAGAAATTAGGCTATCTTGATCTTGAATAGGTAACTGCATCTTTCTTCACAATTTGTAAGCTTTTCGTTAAATATAACATCCCGTGAACAGATCACACTATTGGTTTCTTTGATCCATAGTCGGTATCTTTCGTCTCCATCATAACCAATTAAATAAGCTTTTGTAGCCTTATTATCCATTTTCCTTCTTCTTTGTTTAGGAATATGGGCATAACACACAGATCCTACTATACGAAGATGCTTAATTCGAGGTTTCTTTTTAAACCATAGCTCATAAGGACTCATGCCTTCTACTGATGATTTGCCAGTTCTGTTTAGTACATATATGGCAGTGTTGACTAGTTCAGCCCACATTGCTGCAGGAAAATGAGCTTCAGAATTTGAGTACTTAAATGTTCTTGCCATTTCGATTATTGTACGTATGTCTCTTTCACTAGAGCCATTTTGTTCAGGAGAATAAGGTGCTGTTAGTCTTTGAGTTATACCTTCAGAATGCAAAATAGCACGCACTTTGTCATTGTCAAACTCGCCTCCATTATCGCTGAGAAATTCTTTGACTGGATGTCCTAAAATTTAGCGTGTGCAAGCATGTGTTGTAACATATTTACAACAGCAGATTTTTCCTTGATAAAATACCCATAACGAAACTTTGTGTAGCTATCTTTAAACACAACTAAGTATCTTTTCTTCTGGAAAGATTCATCAAAAGGTCCACAGACATCAGCTGAAATTAATTCACCAGGCTTGCTGGCTGGCTTTCTTATGCCAAATGGTAAACGGTGTGCTTTGCCAAAAATGCATGGTTCACACAATTTTCTTTCAAATGGGATTTTAATTCCTAATTCTTTCTCAAGCATGTTCTTAATGTGACGTTTATCTTGATGTCCCCATCTCTGATGATATAACTCTAACAAGGAATTGTCTGCTTCAGCAGCATGAACTTCTATAATTTTATCAGGCATAATAGGTTCGATAGCTGCCTTGTATAAAGTACCATATACTTTGCGAGTTCCAAAAAGCACTACTTGACCATTAACCTTTAACCAGCATTCTGTAACTGTTGAAATAAATTTACTATTCGGATTTCTATCTTGAGCAGCAAGTAAAGAAAATAAATTTCTGTTTATCTCAGGGACATACCAAACATCTTTAAGGTAAATTCTTTGGATTTTACTACCAATAGTTGTTTTGACACATACTGTACCTTTACCAAGAGCAACTAAAGTTTCTTTTCCAGCAGCCTTGATGCTACAGGGACTATCAAACTTCATAAAGTCAATAAAGTATGTGAAACAATTCATGATATGTCTTGTAGCTCCACTATCAATCCAAAAAGATGTTGATCAGTCTTAGCCTCTTCGTCAATGGACCATCAGTATTACACTGCCTGTATTTCCTTCATTGGTTTTCGTAACCTATTCTTGGGTGGTCTTCCATCAGCAATCCACTGTTTACAATCTTTTACCCAGTGTCCTTTCTTTTTGCAATAATTGCAAATATCTTCTTTTCTTGGTTTTCTTTGAATTTGTCTTTTTTATATTGCTTTTGTTTTTCAGATTTTGACATTACTAATGCCACTTGTTCATTTGTATTGCCTTTCTCATGACTTTTAAATTCTCTTTCATGAGAGCAAAGCTGTGCTGTTAACTCATCAACTGTTCTTTTGTCTTCACCCAAGAGTAACCAACTTGACTTAAACAAATGGTATTGTCCTGGTAAGACATCTAAAATCTTGCAATTGAGTAGCATGTCAGGTAACTTATTTTCATTTTTCTTTTCAAGTCCTGAATTCAACTCATTCCATAAGTTTTTTAATTTGGAAAGATGAGCTGCCATATTATCATTTTCATTCCACTTGAATTGAAAAAAATTGCATGCATATATTATACAATTGATTTTCTGATGATGCTTCAAATAACTTATGTAATTCCAACCACACTTCTCTAGCAGTCTGAAATCTCATAACTTTTTGCAGAGTTTCTTCCGTCATGGAATTCGTTAATACCATCATAGCACTAGTGTTTGCATTTTGAAACTTCTTAACAGCTTCATTATATTTCTCTTGTTGAGCAATCGGAGCATCTACAGGAAGAATTTCTGGTTTCACTATAGTTCCTTCTACAATTTCTAAAGCACCAGGATGATAATTTAAAACAAATTTTATCCTGTATTTCCATATAAGCCAATCGCTTTCACCTGATAAAGGCTTTACTTGGACCTTAGATAATTCCATACTTTGATTTCTAAACAACTTTCGATTGCTATAACGAAAACAAAACACTTACTTGATTAGGCTTAACGAGTTCCGTTTCTTCGAGAAAACATCAATTCAAAACATTTGACGCAATATGGGAGCTTGCTTGACCCATAACCTAAAAAAGTATTTCTTAAAAATACATAACCTAAAAAGGTATTTCTAAAAATAAGAGTAAAACGAATAGCAGAGCAAAAATACGATGCTTTTATTGGAATTACAAACTATAGCTTTTTTTTTTTATTATTATTTTTATTAACATACTTTAATACTTTCCAGAGAGAAACCCATAGCCTCCTAGTATAAAAGTAGGTTAAAAATCGTCGACAAAATCGTCGGTCACTTATCGGTCACCCTCTTCACCACTATCAACTTCTCGAAAGTTCTTTCGACTCACAGTATATTTTGAGTGCTCCCTTCCCTTACTGCACAGACACGATATGTTTAGAAACAACCATGCGTTCTCCGGTATTCGAACCCGAGCCCATCGGTACGGCAGTCAATGTCATTGACCACTATACCGGCTAGGCCAGCAGTCGTCAACCCTGAGAACTTCACGGACCACTACATATATAATTTTATATTTGGCGGACCACTAATATGAATTAAAAAAACCCTTATATCAGACCAACATATTAATACGCAAAAACAACATTCAACTTTCCAATACATGTAATTTAATTCTAATTTTCATTTGTTAGTATAATTTTTGAAACATTTGGTGTTTAGCAGCATGCCTTTATGAAAATTCAGGCTCCGCCCCTGATTATGATTGTAACAATTAAAACACTGTTAACATCTCGCTGATACACACATTTCGTTCACACTGAAAAGTTATATATGAAAAGTACAAAATCTAAAGTTTTTGTACAGAAAGAGTCACATTTCAATATCACTGAAGAGGAACTTCACGAAATGCAAGAACAAACCGGCAAACGCAAAGCAATATCAACTGAAAGTATTATGCCGCCAGTTTTTAATTATTGTAAACATAGTAATCACCGCTTACTCAGCAATGACGCCATCGATCAACACTTAGACAAAACAAAAACCGAAACTTTCAGTGATGCAATTATAAACAAGAATGCATATGGTTCTCATACAAATCCATCAAGTTGCCTATTAACACGGACAAAAACTATGTTATTAGCGACTATAATAGCATATGTGGGGAAGAGCAGAATCGCCCACTGCTTGGAGCGTTTTTAAATTGCAAATACTTGGTATCCATGTATACGTCGACCTATTTTCACTTAAAAAAACATCCCAGAATTGCACAAAAATGGCATTGCGCACTCCCATGACTTTATCCATGTACACATCGACCTATTTTCACTTTAAAAGTTTAAAAAAAATTGACAAAAATCCAATTCTTCTTACTCTTGTAAAGAGCGCCAAACAAATAAGTGGGCGATTTTGCACTTTAGCCGCATATATTTGTTATTCAAAAGGAAAGAGAATTCTAGTTCGCGCTATTATTTATAACAGCAGCATGTCCATGGATGCCAACTCTCACTTTCAAATGTCGTTATACACTTGCATAACACTCGTCACTGCAGTAATACACCTGCATAAGTAGCTAAAAAGTCGCTAAATTCAGAAAGAATTTCGCTAAAAGTAGTAGCTAAAATTAAAAAACTAATAATAATCCATATCACTAGGCTAGGTGTCTGTTATTCCATGCAAGAAATAAGTTTTAGATTCCATGTTAGAACAAAACCTATGAATACTGGTAACTCGATTCATGTTCAAGTTCAGGGCAACGGGCTGGCTGTACAGCAGTTTTCGTGATTACCCGTATAGGTAACGTGAATATAAGCCAGTTCCACTTAAATCTTCCACGTATGTACTCTTTGCTAGTGAAATGTAAATAAAATTCCGCCAAGTTTCTAGTTGTTTGACTTAGATTTCAGTCATAAAGTTCAGAAAAATGAGCACTTTTGCATTTTTCTAACTTGGCTGCAGTAACGACTGGGGCAGGATACGATGAAGTCTTTGTATTTACTGAATCATATCTATTCTGTGATGATTACCTAAGGTCCGTAGAAAGAACGGACCTTGATGATTGTATTTTAAAGAGAGCCGTTATACGATCTTAAAGTGTTAAAGTGACTGTTTTTAAATAACAGACAACAGTAAATAAATCCCAATCTTCGCACGTACAGCCCTTAGCAAGATACCATTCACTATATATCTGCATATGCATTATCCTCATTATACAGAACAATTAAATGCATGCAAAATGGATTTGTGATTGTAATACAGACATAAGTAGGAGGTTGGGAATGAAATTAGGTAGTGTACGATGACTGACAGCCCACTTACAAGTTTTGTACAAAATATTTTCTAGAGCCTTAACAAAGAATTTACTTTGATCATAACTGTCACTGACGTTTTTTTTTTTTTTTTTTTTTTTTTTTTTCCCCTTTCTTTCTTTAATCAAAATTGTTTTTAACTTTGGCAGGGATGTCAGTTGTTGGAAAATTCGAATTTATTTTGCTTGCTTTTTGTATGTAACTCTTAGTTTTAACAGTGTAATTTTTCATTGTGTGTGATAAAATTGTAATCTGCCTTTTTTCTTTTTCCTTTAGTATTCTGAAACTTTAAAATCCTGCAAAATTTCAAATGTAAATTGAGATCAGCATCGGAGCTAAGAAAGTGAAGCGTGTGTTTAAAATATTTTTGAATAATGAGGTAATATTGTTTATTAACGATTTTAGTTTTAAATTTAAGTAGGGGGTGACGACCAAATTAAATTTATTTATATTTCTTAATGGTTTTCTTATAATAAAATAAATACATTTTTTAGTGAAACTGGAAAATAAGTGCATTCTGGAGAGCATTTGAAAATCTCGGATTGTAATTCTCGCTTTTTTTTCCATAGTATTTCTGTTGAAATTTCCAGAATGTATAAAAACGGAAGCGAATACTAATATTTTTACATGACCATTTTTATGCAAAATATTTGTGTTTTCTACTGTACATTTCTATTATTCTGTACATTTTTCGAAAGTTCTGTTGTATTGGGGTAATGTAATATGAAAACAGGGCTCTAGTGTAGAATTGTGTGCCTCTTCGATTAGCGACATTTTTTTTTTTTAAATTTTGGCGATGAAACCTCGCTTCTGTTTACCATGATAGTTTTAACTTTGTTTTAGCTTCCTGAATGAAAATAGTTTGATGTGTACATGGACAAATTTAAGGCAGTGCACAATGCCTAGTTTGTGCAATTCTAGGATGTTTTTTTAAGTGAAAACAGATCGATGTGTACATGGGCACAGAGTTTGTGAAATTCTTTGACTTCTTATTTTGTTTTAGTGTGTGGACCATCTTGATATTTTGCCTTCCAAGCGCTGATCTTGGCGTCAAAAAAGAATCGCCAAGAAAAAAGGGGCACCCAATTGTAAACTTTTACCGAAAACAGTGTTGTCAATATAATATCAACCTCTGAAGATATAATTCAGGACAATTTTTTGAATGAATCTTGGTGTAATATTCATGATGCTGAACTATATTATTCATGATTTAATAAGCTGGTCATGCCAAGTAAGCATTCACAATTAAAGAAAAGTACTATCACTAGAAAGATCATTATTTACCTCTGCAGTAATGAGAGTTCCATAGTCAAAGCAAAATGTATTTTAATTCCTGATCAGTTGCATAACTGGGGTGGTGCAAGAGGGGGCATCTGTACCCGAGTACAACAACCAGGAGTGCCAAAGTGATGTTACAAAATTTTAGAATGAAACATTTTTCATTCTTGGTACACAGAAAGGGGGCACAAGATCTTTAGTTGTCCCCGGGTGCTGAAAACCCAAGCTATGCCTCTGCTTCTGATGAATTAAATATTTAACATTAATGTCAATTAAATAACTTTCAGGATTGCTTTGGAAATCATTATTCACTTGTGATAAAGTGCGATAGAATTATAAATATCCAGACTAAAAGACATAAAGATCCATCCACCTTTTTGCAAATAAAATAATGGTGTTATATTTGTTCTGTGGGTCAACTATGTGATTACTGTAGCAGATGTAATGAAGGTATTGCCTTTAGCCTGCTTAATCAGGTGTTTGAGTAGACCTTTTTTCTAAAGTTATTCTTATTAATGGTTATATTATTGCAAATATTGTTAGTTTCTGGTGGTTTACACTCCCACTGAAAAGTCATGAACTCATTGCCAATTTTGGAAAGGGGTAAAGTGAAGAATCACCCGCTTATATGGTGCGTATTAATGTGTACATGGACGAAGTCAAGTGAGTGTGCAGTGCCAAGTTTGTGTAATTCTCTGTTTTTTTTTTTTCAAGTGAAAATAGGTCAATGTGTACATGGATACTAAGTTTGTGCAATTCTTTGACTTGTTATACCCAGTTTGTGCAGTTCTTTGGCTTATTATTTTCAAGTTGGCGATTTTGCGAAAGGCATGAAGCAGTGGGTAATTCTGCATTTTCCACTTTGGAGAGTATTGACGAACTCGTTGGCGATTAATTTTTTGCCAAGGTAATGCGTGAAAGACCCTAGCCATTTTAAAAATGGTAACTTGCTAAGAACTCAGAGCAATCAATCAGTAAAATTAAAAAAAGGAAGAAACATCTGATACTTACTTTTTTGAGAAATATATATATATATACAATTTCTTTTTCAATTATATATATATATATATACACAATTTCTTTTTCAATTATATATATATATATATATATTTTTCTGTTTCCCTCATGTATATATCGATTTGTTTTCACTTAAAAAACATTATAAAATCGCACAAACTCATTCATTGCATGCTGGGCTAAACAGACATGTGCTACATACATGCTTGGGTTGCCACATAAATATTTTTGGCCATATCAAGGAATGCCATATAACTGCTTTCACATGCTGCTTTTTAACATACTGCTTTTTTCGTAAATATCTTTTCACACCTTCTGGGTGGGGATGCAAATAATCTTAAAGCACGACCAGTGGCATGGCGAGGGGGCCAAGGGGGTGTATGATGCCCTGGGCGTCGCTCGCAAAAGGAGCGCAAATGGTCTCCAAACAAGATTTTCCGGAAAAAGTTAAGTTTTTATTTTGATCAATTTCTGGAAAATATATTTAAAATTAATATTTATTGTAATATAATTAATTATTTATTTTCACGATTTGTCTGATAAAATGTGTAATAAAATGTTTGCAGTACATCAACTAAATATCTCCGCATACAAAATGTTGGGTAGAGTAGACTTTAAGGTACCCCTTGTATTATGGCGAAGTTGTTGTTTGATTTATCGCCAAGTTGTTGTTTCATTTATGGTAGCCTGAGTAGTTGAATGTTATGGAAACCCTATTGTAACGTAATCGGATGCATGATTCTGGGAAATTTTGAATCATGGGATGTTTTGTAAGTGCTCATGTGGTGTATGTTGGTTTGATTCTTTAGACGGTAGAATGGTCGAATATAGTAAGATTAATTTGAAGTTTCTGTACGATTTGGAGCAAAAGGGGAAAAGAGCTTTAATTGACTGGTGGGTAAATGAAGGTTTACTTTGTAGCCATTATAAGCGTCCTGTATGTAGGAAGGCTATGCGTCTAGTCAAATGTAAAAACCATTTAGATGCATTTGAAGCAGTTTGTAGGAAGAAAGGTTCAGATGGTCACTATGTGAAGCGTTCGATCAGAAAGAGTACCTGGTTTGAAAAAAGTCATTTGAGTATGATTGATATTTTTGATTTTACGTGGCTCTGGGTGTACGAGTGAACTCGAAAATATGGTAAGTTAATATTTGCTTTTGGTAGTGCTTAAATGTATAACATGTTTTTCCTTTTTATGTTATTTTATTGTTTTGGTTTAAAATGTATTTTATTGAGATTATGTATTTTTTTGTTTTGCCTATATTTTAGAATTTGGTGCTCCTTTGACTTTTTAAGTGAAAATATATCGATGTGTAGATGGACAAAGTAAAGGGAGTGCGCAATGCAAGTTTGTGCAATTCTGGAATTTTTTTTAAGTGAAAATAGGTCGACGTGTACATGGATAAAGTTAAGAGTGCGCAATGCCATTTTTGTGAAATTTGGGGATTTTTTTAAAGTGAAAATAGGTCGACGTATACATGGCTAAAGTCAAAAGAGTGTGCAATGCCATTTCTGTGCAATTCAGGGATTTTTTTTTAAGTGAAAATAAGTCAATGTGTACATGGATACTGAGTTTGTGCAATTGTTTGTCTTGTTATTTTGGCTTTGTGTACGCATGCCAAAATAACGAGTCAAAGAATTGCATAAAATCGGTAGCCATGTACCGCCAAAAATCACCAAGTTTCGCTAAAGGGTACCCTAAACTGTACTTTTACCAAAACGTTTTTTCCGACCACTTTATTTTTCTAAAAATAGATACATTGGCTGATCTTTAGAATATGGTAACTGGTAGTTTCGCGACATTTTGGAGGCGATAAAGGTTACTACCTGGGACTTTGGTAATAATGTGAGCAGTACTCAGTTCCGATTACCCATTATTTTGTGTGAGGGAAAGAGAGATCATGGGATATGTCATGGATATTAATGGACGAATTACGGTTCTTTAATCGGAAAAGGGGAAAAATCTGGAAATTTTGTATTTGGCTTTATTCTGTGTCGTGTGAAACAGTGTTCGTTAATTTTGGATCCCATGGCCCTAACTAAAGTGAATTCGAATGTTTTAGTGGGATTGAAAGGGGTAAGTAATAAGTGTTCTTTAAGGTTGTGCGGATAGAAGTAAAGATGTTTTATTAAGTTATTATTTTACTGGTACCTGCTGAACTAAGTATGATTTTAAGATCCTGAACAGAAATACGAAAAGTTTATCGACACGTAATCAGATTCTGAAGAGATTAGGTAGTTAGTATTTTTATTAATTGAGTATTATTTTTATGCATAGTTCTAAATGTAAGGTGAAGTAAAATAATTTGGTATTATTGGGAAAATTGTTATTAGCAATGATTTAGTTTAAAGTAATTATGATTCTAACCTAATTTTTATAATTTAATGTATGGCTTATTTATATTTTAAGTAGTGTTTTTTGAAATTTAATTATATTTTAATTAATGATGGCTATTTTGTGAATTTATGTTTGTAGGAATTTGGTATACGTTTAGTTGAAGTAAACGTGCATCGGATAATTTAAATATTTGACACTAAGATTTGTAATGTTTGCGTATGAATTCGTTGGTGCATTAAATATAATAGATAATTTAGAGGTAAAAGTTTTGGATATTTTATTTATTTTATACGTGGAAATGTTCATATTTGGAAAGGGATATACTTTTTCGTTATTAGATATTTCATATATGTTCTTTTTAACGGTTTAAAGATTCAGAAAATTGTCATGCATTTTCGTGAAATTTTTCTAATTTATGAGAAAAAAGGAGTGTAACATGGATATGGTGAAGGTGTGCGCAATGTCATTTTTGTGCAATTCTGGGATTTTTTTTTTTTAAGTAAAAATAGTCGATGTGTACGTGGTTTAGTGATATTTAATTAAATGATAGTTATTTTGGAATTTATGTTTGTAGGATTTGGTATACGTTTAGTTGAAGTAAACGTGATGGAAGTAATTTAAATATTGACACTAAGTATTTGTAATGCTTGCGGTATGAATCGTTGGTGACGTTATAATATAAGATGATTTAGAGGTAAAAGTTTTTGGATATTTATTTATTTTATATGTAGAAATGTTCATATTTG